CAGTCTCAGTATCCCTGCTCTCCCTCCCTCCCTCTCAGTCTCCGTATCCCAGGCAGTCTCAGTATCCCTGCTCTCCCTCCCTCCCTCTCAGTCTCAGTATCCCAGGCAGTCTCAGTATCCCTGCTCTCCCTCCCTCCCTCTCAGTCTCAGTATCCCAGGCAGTCTCAGTATCCCTGCTCTCCCTCCCTCCCTCTCAGTCTCAGTATCCCAGGCAGTCTCAGTATCCCTGCTCTCCCTCCCTCCCTCTCAGTCTCAGTATCCCAGGCAGTCTCAGTCTCCGTCTCAGTATCCCAGGCAGTCTCAGTATCCCTGCTCTCCCTCCCTCCCTCTCAGTCTCAGTATCCCAGGCAGTCTCAGTATCCCTGCTCTCCCTCCCTCCCTCTCAGTCTCAGTCTCCCAGGCAGTCTCAGTATCCCTGCTCTCCCTCCCTCCCTCTCAGTCTCAGTATCCCAGGCAGTCTCAGTATCCCTGCTCTCCCTCCCTCCCTCTCAGTCTCTCTCTCCCCAGGCAGTCTCAGTATCCCTGCTCTCTCCCCTGGCAGTCTCAGTATCCCTGCTCTCCCCCATCCCTCACTCTCAGTCTCTCTCTCCCCTGGCAGTCTCAGTATCCCTGCTCTCCCCCATCCCTCACTCTCAGTCTCACTCTCCCCTGGCAGTCTCAGTATCCCTGCTCTCCCCCCTCCCTCACTCTCAGTCTCACTCTCCCCTGGCAGTCTCAGTATCCCTGCTCTCCCTCCCTCCCTCTCAGTCTCAGTATCCCAGGCAGTCTCAGTATCCCTGCTCCCTCCTGCCGCTGGGGGTGCAGTACCGCTGGCGGCCAGCAGGTGGCGAGCTGCAGTCCCGCACAGGAAGCGGAAGCGGTCGCAGTCTCTCAGACAACCTGGAAGCTGCGTGTCCTTCCTGCAGAGCGGGGCCCGGGGAGGCGACACCGGAGACAGGCCCGAGCACGGTGAGCCCCCGCCACACGGAGTGTGTGTCTGATATTAACATACACGGCGTATACCGAGCGGGACTGGCAGACACTGCACCACACACACTGCACACAGACAGACAGACATCAGGCAATACAGACAGACAGACAGACATCAGGCAATACAGACAGACAGACAGACATCAGGCAATACAGACAGACAGACAGACAGAGACATCAGGCAATACAGACAGACAGACATGGACATCAGGTAATACAGACAGACAGACAGAGACATCAGGCAATACAGACAGACAGACAGAGACATCAGGCAATACAGACAGACAGACAGAGACATCAGGCAATACAGACAGACATTACATGGACATCAGGTAATACAGACAGACATTACATGGACATCAGGTAATACAGACAGACAGACATTACATGGACATCAGGCAATACAGACAGACAGACATTACATGGACATCAAGTAATACAGACAGACAGACATTACATGGACATCAGGTAATACAGACAGACAGACATGGACATCAGGTAATACAGACAGACAGACATGGACATCAGGCAATACAGACAGACAGACAGACATGGACATCAGGTAATACAGACAGACATTACATGGACATCAGGCAATACAGACAGACAGACAGACATGGACATCAGGCAATACAGACAGACAGACATTACATGGACATCAAGTAATACAGACAGACAGACATTACATGGACATCAGGTAATACAGACAGACAGACATGGACATCAGGTAATACAGACAGACAGACATGGACATCAGGCAATACAGACAGACAGACAGACATGGACATCAGGTAATACAGACAGACATTACATGGACATCAGGCAATACAGACAGACAGACAGACATGGACATCAGGCAATACAGACAGACAGACATTACATGGACATCAAGTAATACAGACAGACAGACATTACATGGACATCAGGTAATACAGACAGACAGACATGGACATCAGGCAATACAGACAGACAGACATGGACATCAGGCAATACAGACAGACATTACATGGACATCAGGTAATACAGACAGACATTACATGGACATCAAGTAATACAGACAGACAGACATTACATGGACATCAGGTAATACAGACAGACAGACATGGACATCAGGCAATACAGACAGACAGACATGGACATCAGGCAATACAGACAGACATTACATGGACATCAGGTAATACAGACAGACATTACATGGACATCAAGTAATACAGACAGACAGACATTACATGGACATCAGGTAATACAGACAGACAGACATTACATGGACATCAGGTAATACAGACAGACAGACATTACATGGACATCAGGTAATACAGACAGACAGACATTACATGGACATCAGGTAATACAGACAGACAGACATTACATGGACATCAGGTAATACAGACAGACAGACATTACATGGACATCAGGTAATACAGACAGACAGACATTACATGGACATCAGGTAATACAGACAGACAGACATTACATGGACATCAGGTAATACAGACAGACAGACATTACATGGACATCAGGTAATACAGACAGACAGACATTACATGGACATCAGGTAATACAGACAGACAGACATTACATGGACATCGGGTAATACAGACAGACAGATGTAACTGCTCCTCCCTTGCAGGCCAAACATAGGGAAGAGCCCTCTCTTCCCATTCCCATTTTTTTTCCCCTGCACTTCAAGTCTCCCTCTGTTTCCCCCTCCCATCGTGGGCTCATAGTGCGCACATGCAAACAACCATTTCAATTGTGTCTGTCATTGTTTATAAAAACGAAGCAATTTGTTCATATCTTCCTAACAAAGCGATTAGTTCGTCAATAGATAAACAGGCATTTGATTTATACAGCTGAAAAGGATAACAAGTCTGTTTCAGTCATTGTCATGGTTACTCTCTGCAGATTTAAGACCAGGATAGCTGCTTTGGATTGTGTGTTAGAGCTTTTCTAATTCTGCTGTTTTGGCATAAAATGTTCATTATTGACAAATTCTGTAAGAGAGTTTGTGTTGATGTTATTCACTAAGCAACTAATTTTTGCTCTCCTAGTGAAGTGTGTGTGGCTAAAAGTTGCAGTTCACCTGCCCATTAACGGAGCCGAGGGGAGCAGTCCTTATGTGCGGGCACAACCCCAGCTTTTTTACCAACCATTCAAAGATACTGCTATAAGCGGCAATGGTCCTTAGTCAGTCCCTCTATGTGCAGGTTTAATATTCTGTCTGAACACTTTTTCAGTGTTGCATTATTGGTGATATTTCTGTAGTTGATCTCTATAAATTGTTTATTTTATAAAATTGTATTGTATCTTCTTTGCTGCGGTTTTGACTGGAAATACAGATGTTGATGTGGAAAGAGATCCAGTTGGCATGATGTGCCTTTTTACCCCGTTTAGGTGGAGATATAATTCTGCATTGTACGTGTGTGAAAGCTATGCTTCACCCTGTTTATGTGTTGGACTCATTCTGAAATAGATAACACAATTCATGATGTTCTTTGGTGAGTGGGCTGCACATTCTGTCCCCTATCCCACTATTATATCAATTATTTACCAAGGAAGCATTTGCTCGTCAAAATGAAAGGGCCCTATCACACGTGTTGTACCTCCGTGTTGTGACTTTAAGTTGCATTCCAGCTATACAGTATATCTACTGGTTTAATTTACTTTTTTTTTGTAACATTGATGTGTGGGGTGGAAGTTTTGTTTCTCCTCTGTAATCATATGTCTGTTAAAGGAACAATCTATAAAAAAAAAAGTTTATTTGATATAACCTGCATCGGATTTGTTCATCATGTTTTCTTTGGTGGTAAAAACCTAACTAGCAATAGCTGCAGATTTAGTTTCTGTAGTTACTGCAAGCTTTCACCTTCTTCCCTGGCAGAGATGCTGTCAGCTGTGCTGGAGAACGACCAATCAGAGGCTTCTCTGGTTGGCCTTGTGGATTAACTGCACATGCAGTGAGAGGGTCTGCTGCTGATTGGCTGGAATGTGTCTGCTGACTGTGAGGTACAGGGTCAAAGTTTACTCAATGATGAGTCCGCGTCGAACTGTTCGGCGGACCGTTCGGGACATCACTAGCTGTGATTTCTGGGGAAGCTTATCGTTTATATGCAGTCTCTCCTAGATTGGAGTGCTTCGTAAATATAAAATCTGCAGCAGGCAGGCGAGTAGCAGAGGCCCCAGACTGTTACAGCTTCCCCTCTCACTCCCCCCCACCGCCCCGTCTTGGGATTTGCCAGTGACATATTTGTATTTCACAGTATTCTTTCATTACATGGGTGATTGAGTATTGATTGACACTGTAAGTACATGGTGCTGTGTGTTTCTGTAACGCACATTTATTCTCCAGTGACCAAATATACCCTGAGAACTTTCTCTCCTGAAAAATGAAACAAGGATATACTGACAGCAGAGCACTAAGATAATCATGTAAGAATCCTGCCTGAAAGGGACACACTCAGTGCTGTGGGACTCTAGTAATGTAACATTATATTATATATAATTATATACCCTTATTGTAGGCACTACAGATCTCCTGCTCAGTATTGTTTGGTACTGTAAATAGAGCTATCTCTGGAGGTGTGGAATTTCTATACTTTTTAAACCTGTCAAAAGGGATGGACTTCATTTAAGCAGAATGATTAGTAATCAGTTTAAGATTCCAATTGCACTAATTAAATAAATTCTGTAATAACCTTACTTAAATAGACTTTTCAAACTCTGTAACTACTACAGGCTGTTGTTGTAGCCTTTTGCACAGAGGTTATAGGTGCAGCTCTGTAGTATAGATCAGTGTTTTTCAACCACTGTTCCGCGGCACACTAGTGTGCCGCGAGATGTTGCCTGGTGTGCCGTGGGATGTCTGATGTTCTGATGTCCGGGCTGTGATCAGGGCCGGACTGGCCCACCGGGATACCGGGAAATTTCCCGGTGGGGCGCGGCACCTGGGGGCTGCGAGGGCACATATGTGCCACCGGGTGGCTGGTCCGGTGGCACACTGAGAGGGGGCCGGCCGCGTTCCAGACTGGAGCCGCCGGGCCGGGTGGCAGCTTCGCCGGTCCGGCGGCACTCCAGTCACTGGCTGCTGATGGAGGAGGAGCCTGTCTACCAAGCTCCCTCGCGGTTCCACCGCGAGGGAGCATGGTAGACAGGCTGCTCCACCATCATGCATCAGCAGCCAGTGACTGGAGTGCCGCCGGACCGGCGAAGCTGCCACCCGGCCCGGCGGCTCCAGTCTGGAATGCGGCCGGCCCCCTCTCAGTGTGCCACCGGAGAGATAGGGAAGGGGGAGACACAGGGAAAGGGGGGGAAGGGAGGGACACAGGGAAAGGGGGGAGGGAGAGACATAGGGAAGGGGGGGGGGGGAGAGACACATTTTCTAATGGTGGTGTGCCGCGTCATTTTATTCATGAAACAAGTGTGCCTTTGCCCAAAAAAAGGTTGAAAAACACTGGTATAGATACACAGTAATCTAGCTTTAAAAAACACCCCATATTGTTCAACCAGTAAAACACATCTTTGTATGTAAGCTGTTGATCCAAAAGAAGGCAAGAAACGTAATATGAACTGAAGGCCAACTGAGTCACAAAAGAGGGAAAATTTCCTTTTGACTCCATAATAGCAATGAGATTTCTCCTTGGATCAACAACCTGTTGATATATTAATTCTGTTCTTGAATATTCTGTTTTTAAAAAACTCAACCAGGCCTTTTTCAAAATATCTATAGAACCTGAGAAGAAAATCTCTTTACCTCAAGGAACACTAGAAATATCTGCATTCTTAATGCTACAGCCCTAATGTCGCTTATTGATTAGTCCCAGAATTAATCTAATAACTCACCTTTTCTCTCTTGGATGACTGGCCAATACAATGCTCGTCATAGAGGAGCATTGTGGCAGATCGTAAAGGCACTGCACATGTGCGTGTGACATTACGGTTGGGAAGTAAGATTCCCAACTCTCATGTCTAGAGGGCTTGGAGGCATGCCCTGAAGCCGCACTTTCAAAAACTTCTAACTAGTTCTATATAGGGTTTTGGAGGTAGGACTGCAGGCACTATAACATCTTCATTAAGATGAAGTTGTTAAAGTAGGTAAAGTGTCCCTTTATGACAAAGGAAGGCATACTTTGCCTTAGTATTTTCCTATGCTTAACAAGTATGATGAAAAGGCAGAGATACCTTTTGTCAATCAAGTCTTGTAAGACCCCCAGCCATCACTAGTCATGGCTGAGGAAACAAATACAGCAGGTTACCCCACAGACCTTAGTGTTGTACCCTCACGCATGCGCGAAGGTACAACATTGGTGTTGTCTCCTGGCAACTGAAGCACATGGAGCTAAAGAGGACCGTCAGGAAGAGCATGGAGGCGGAAATGAGGGACAGGTTCAAGTAAGGATAACTCACCTTCCCCTGCACCCCTCGACCACTGCACAGCCAGCGGAACAGTCTTAAAGTCAGAATCGTAATACCGTACATTTTAAATTCCTGACATTTTTTACTTTAGTAAGTAACCCTGAGTGGCTCTGACCTGACACTTGCAGCTACAAAACTTTTTCTGGTTCAGTTTTTTTTTTTAAAAATTTTTTTATAGTGTAATTGTATTCTTAATGTGAGATCTGTCAAACAGCCAGACATACACAGATGCCTAGTTTCCACTGAGCGGATCGGTTCGCTATTTTGAGTGTTTCCATTATGAAAGTGGCCCATACAACCGAACCGTACCACACCATTCAGGGTCCTGCTTCAGATGTAAGGCCATAGGAAATGGTACGGTTCAGTTAGGGCAGAGCTACTATACAATCCATTGAATGGTGGACATGAAGAGCATTTTTTCTAAATCCCGCATGGCCCCTGAAGGTCTGGCTAGCAGTGGAAACGCTCACCAGAATAGGCTGGACCATTCTAAACCTTCCAAACTGAACTGACCTGAACCGATCCGCTCAGGGAAACGGGGCACTAGAAACACAAAGTGCTGTAGAATTGAAAGTATTGTGGTAGATTCATTAGGGCTGCTTTTTCCATATGGGTTCCTTTTCATATACTGGTTAGTAATATTAATTTGCTTATTATGTCTGTCTGTAAGAATCTGAGCTTGTTGGCAATTGTTTCTCTGCCAAATGGTTATATAAGGATTACGCCAGCCAGGAGATTTGTACCTGTTGTTTATACAATGTAGTTCTCATACACATCTGGGACTTGATTCTATATATTCATTCTTGTTCTGTGATTGTGCTTTAAAGGGGAACTGACACTTCTCTGTCAAATACACCATTAAATAAAACATTGATATCAACCACCTGCCTAATATCATGTATGTCCCCATTTGTGCTGCCAAACAGCTCTGCACTTGGCCATCCACCAGAACTAAAAGAAAACATGGTTCATCAGACCAGGCAACCTTCTGTCATTGCTCCATGATCCAGTTCTGATGCTCACATCCACATCGAATGTGCTTTCTCCATGTGGACAGAGAGCATCATGGGCACTCTGACCACTCTGTGGGTACACAGCCCCATATGCAGCAAACTACAATGCACTGTGTAATCTGATACTTTTCTATCAAGGCCAGCATTACGTCCTTGAGCAATTTGAGCTACATCAGCTATTCTTTGTGATAGGACCAGAGGCGCTAGCCTTCGCTCCCCACTTATAACAGTGAGCCTTGAGCGCCAATGATCCTTATGCTGGTTCACCAGTTGTCCTTCCTTGCACCACTTTTGGTAGATACTAACCACTGCATACCCAAAAGGCTTGCCCTGACCCAGTCATCTAGCCATCGCTATTTGTATCTTGTTAAAGTCACACAAATGTTTTTACTTGCCCATTTTTCCTGCTTCCAACACATGGAATTCAAGACTATTCACTTGACAACCAAAATATACCACCCTTTGACAGGTGCCATTGTAACGATATAATCAATGTTATTCACTTCACCTGTCAGTGGTGTTAATGTTGTGGCTGTTCAGTGTATATCTGGTATTATAGTCTTTTTTCATGAGATGCTCTATTCAAATTTATACTAAAGATTTAGCAAGTATCAACATTTTCCAGTTCAGGAAAGGCAATGCCAGGATAAACATTGCAAATTAAGAGGGGGCATTAAAACATGTTTTCAGTTCTCCTCAGCTCTGTATTCTTTCTCTATGCTGACTGCCAGATGCAAAGACCTGAGCTAATAAAAGGGATTTAAATGGAGAAAAAATGGAGGATAATGATCAGCTTTGGTTAGCATTCCTGAGCTAAGCCCTGCAGTGCAGGACCAGCTTATTGGCTGAGAGTGTCAGCTAATCACTCTCAGCCAGTGTGTTAAGCAGTGCACCACCGAGCATAGTTTAGAGCTGAGAGGAGGCAGGGAGTGGCTCCCGGTGGACTGAGGGAAAGAAGTCAAACCATTACTAAAACGGTATGCCTACTTACATTGGGCACTAAGGAACTCCTGGCAGTGTGCTGTAGTGTTTATGGTGCTTAGTGTGTTCCTTTAACAGCTGTCAGTGTATCTGGGGTCCGGTGGGCAGTTTATAATTCAAAATGTATTACAACAGAGGCGTGTGTTTGATTAAATAATATGTGTGAACTGGCAACTAATATAACCGTGTGTTTTGGCCTGATTACATTGTCAATCAAAGTATATTTCACTTGTAGCTTGTTTAGTTGTGATTATTGACTGCTAATCAGACTTCTGGTCAATTTGAGTAAAAAAAAATGAGACCTGTAATCTCTCTCTATTCTGAAACAGAACACTGGAGGTGCTACGGAGAATTCTGTGCACATTATTTAGCAAATTGTTCCCACGACATAAGTATATTGTGCTCATGGCTTAATAGAACATTATCGGATGAAGAATCTGAGCTACATAGCAAATCAGTATGCAGCATGTGTGTGTCTTCCAGCATAGTGCAATATCCGGCCTGCATCCACATGTAATTGGCTGATTGCTTATTGTACTTTCCTAGTATGCGATCCTGGATAACGATGTATGCTGGAAGATGCTTTGTTTGTGTGATATAAATCTACCGTTCCCACAATACAAGTATATTGCGTGCACTTTCTATTATGTTTGTTGTAGACACAATAAAGCGTGTGAATGATTTAAGGGATTGTACACAATTTAAAAGAAATGATATACTCTTAAAACATGTGTAATTTGTTTTGTGATGTTACACCATTTGTTTTATGGTGCACTCTGTATACAGTTCAATGTAGTGATTATACTGCTAACACTATGCAGGTTTAATACTGTTTGGGAGGGGTCTTGCTGGCTCCCACAGAACACCCACTTCTCAGCCACATTGATAAAGGAGAATTTCCAGTTGGACTGCAATGATAGACTGAGATTGATGGACTAATACAGACACAGATACCCTTACACACACTGTCTATTTTCTGCTGAATTTCCCCATTCCCAATGGTTCACTCTGAACACAGTCACATGCTGGGAAGGTATTGGGAGGGGTTAATAATAACTGCTGCAATCCTGGATCTTTGGACCATTTTTCTTTCTTTTTGATGTACTGATAGCGTTCTAGAGGTTCTAAAGTTGTTAAAGATGCATGCAATCAAAAAGCATTAAAATAGCAACTTTTATTTAACTAATAAAAAGGGGGTACTGCGTATACCCAGCATTTGGATTAAGCTATTTGAGCAAATCAAGACATAAGGTCTTATTATTATGTATTTGACAATAAAATAAAATTTGCCATACTCGCTGTAAAAAATAATAATAATAAAAAAAGAATAATTTAGAAAAAGTTTTAAAAACTGTTCAAAATCTGTGTTTTCTGGGCTTCTGGTTGCGAAGCTGGCTATAGGAATCTGTTCCTGTTTTCATTGACCATTACAAAAATCAGCGCCACCAGAGGTTGCAGAGTGCATTGCTTCATAAATCTCTCAGTTTGAATGAGGCCCGTTTCATTCAGCGGGACAAGCTCTACATAATAAATGTTGCCTTCACTTCCTCTTGATATACACACTGCGTTGGATTGTTAGATGAATGAATTGGGGCTTTCATGTGTCTCTCCATGCGGAAATAATATTGTTCCTATTTCGCTGGTCGGTAAAATTCCATTCTTGTTCTAGCGTTAAAGGGACTTGATGTAGCGATCAGGTTGCCAAGAGTTTTTTGGGTGGCTGATTTTATATCAGTTCGTAGCAGTTTGACAAAAAAATTGAGCTTAAAACACCACCCTGAGACCACCCCCTGCTCCCCTATCTGATAATACGGGATTGACACTTTAAATATCAGTAGTTTATAGCATTGCCACCATCCAGGACTGGGTGAAATCGGTAGTGACCGTGTAGAAGCATTGATCAACTTGTATGTGCAGGGCTATCGATACCTTTTTTTTTTTTTTTTGCCTAAATTTGTCATCTTAGTATGTTCTGTTTGCTTACCGTAATGCGTTCTGAAAACATTTGCACTTTCTAAGTAAAAATAACTTTTGTAATACATTCTAATTGTGAAGCTGCTTTTGCGAACATTTACCTCCATGGAAAGTTCTATGCTCTAGAACACAGTGTTTAAACAGAAATAACCTCTTCCCTTTAACCAATGCTCCGTAATAGTTGAGTAACACAGAAATTACGTTGCTGTTGTGGTGCTTTGAATTCACACTGACTTTGCTGTAAATTATTTACAAGTAATTATCCAATTAGCTTTGTGTGCATTTCACTGGGGAAAAAAAGTGCAAATAAATCACTGTAAACAATTTTGCCCAATGTCATCATTAACACTAAAAAGCCAAATATTGCGCATAACAGCAGGTCTGCGTATATAGACTAACTTGAATGTTTTTAGAAGAAAAAAAAAATCCTATTCTTTTCATTCGCTCGGGGTTCATTTCAAATTTTTAAACAATACTTTATTTTAAAGTGTGAAAAATTTAGTCAGGGCTGTTATAAAACCACTAATGGGATGCTTTCGTTGTGCCAGGCCAAATGTTATGTAAAATAAATTGTTAGTTACATGATTTCAAAGCTCAATTTTATGTCATGTTGAACTATCAGTGTCTTTAAGTTCCATTTGCAAAACAGAAAAACAAATAGAAAAATTAAGATGTCTGTGAAGAAATGATTGATTGATCTTGCCTATTTTTTTTATTACTCTGTGAAGTTGGCTTTCCAGATCGGACTAGGGGCAGTCACTTGTTAATTCTCGTCAATGAATGGTGTATTATCTGGTCCCTGACCATGTCATTAAATGGAAGCATCACTTCTCTAATAATGAGTTTTGTCATCTAACCCGGTAAACTGCAGCACTTTCATTTCCATGGTAACCTTATCGTCCCATGATGCCAGAGCATCTTCAAAGAATGCCTTGGCACTTCTTTAGGAGAGGGGTACGGTTGCAAGCACCTTGGAGATTCAATTATTTTACAGTTTATGCTCAGTGTAAATTACAAACAAAATAAGTGACACAGAATGAAAAGAAAATAACTCAAACCATAGCTATGTTTTACAATCTCATGATTGTGTAAAAATCTCTATTTACAGTGGGACCTCAGTTTACAAACGCCTCGGTTAACATAATTTTCGGTTTACAAATGAAAATCCATTGAAAATAATGCCTCGGTTTACAAATTTATTTTGCAATACAAAGCAAGTTTCCCCAGGATGCATTGCACCTGGGAGGTTTATAGCACTGCCCCCTGCATGCTGGAGCCTGTGGGTAGCACGTGGCGTTGAGTGTGCAGGTGTTGAAGCAGCTTTTGCATCAAGTTTTGGAGCCATTGTGGAATTTGTTTGCAGTTGTTTTGGGACTTTTTGGTGCATTTCTCAAGCTGTGGAAAGGTGGGGAGCTGAACTTCGTCGTTTGCATGCCTTTTATTGTGTGCTCAGCATTGTGGGTTGGTTTCCATGCCAGCTCATTTTGACTTTTTTCTCACCTCCAAAACCGATTAATTGGTTTTCAGTGCATTCCTATGGGAAACCGCGTTTTGGTTTACAAATGTTTCGCAATAAGAAACGTGCTGATGCCCACTGTACTCTAGCCGTAAAATCTCTATTTATTCTAGCCGTGAGAGCAAGCAGATCATAATGTAGCTTTCAATAAAAATAAGTAGTTTACATTTCTTTTCCTCCTGTCTCTCCCTGGAACCCATTACCTGCTTTCTCTATATTGCTGGGCGTCTTCCATTAATAAAGTTGGAAGCTAGTATTACCTACAATGTAATGTCAAATTGTGTCACACTCTCGAGATCACCAACCTCCATCACAAAGCAATTTCTTGTCTTCTAGATACTGCCGTCATCTGGGAAGAAAGAGTAAACTTGAAGCTGTAGATTTTAAAATGTCCTCCTTGGTATGTGATTGCCAACATCTAGAATCTGTGGGAGAAGTGACCAAAGAAGAGCTTATTCAGAAATCGAATGTACGTATGTCCAGACGTCCCACCTCTCTATAACCCTTAAAAATAAATTAACTATTCAAAGAAAATAAGCACAGTTTAGTTTTGATAAAAAAAGAAATAATCCTGTGTTAAGCCTGTGAAAATAGCAAACTTCAAAACCCCTGCTTTAAAAACCAAAGTAAAATTTGCAGATTGTGTAAGATTAGTGTAAAGATTTTTCCCATATGAGAGATCAGATTTTCAGGATCCTTATTTTCATCGTGCTTTCTCTCTTACACACAGAGGCTGGAAACTGCCTTGTCGGCGATTATCGTTTCCTTGTGTTCATTTATGCAAACATGTTGCTGCTCTTGTGGTTTGAAATACAATTCAGGCACACATTAAAGTTTAATAAATATTAGCATTTATTTTTTCTTTAAGTACTGATGGCAGAATTTGCAACTCTGCATTTCTGCAGTCTCAAGGCCTGAAGCCTATTGTGTCTTCGAGCTTTCTGCAATTTGACTTGTTCGCGGAATAAACGATTTTTGATCTTTATTTCTTCTTCATTGTCTATATACAGGGAAGCTGTCAGGACTGCAGAGTGAAAGGACCAAATCTCTGGGCTTGTTTAGAGGTAAGGATTCCTTATCTTTCTTTGTAGATATGGCTGTCCCTGATGTGAAAATTCACCTTCTATTATTTCCCTTTACAGAATGGCTGTTCCTATGTTGGCTGCGGAGAGTCTCATGCAGATCACAGTACCCTTCATTCTCAGGTTGGTGTATGCTATAGTTACGGTGTTAAATCCTAAATTCACGCTGTCTCTTCTTGCTGTAAAGAGGGCTGGTGCAGGTAAAACAAACATGTTTCTTAAAAGAGAATTTAAAGGTACAGTAACCCCTTATAACAAAAAACATTATGTTAAAGTGAGAGTTGGTTCATTTCTGTATTTGACCTCAAAATTCTGGGTTTATGCTGTAGCTCAGATTTCTTCTAACTCTAAACGGACTACTTTTTACTGCTTCTGCACCAGCGATAATACATGTCACAAAGATGGAGAAATGTAAAAAAATAAGCAGTCATTAAGAAGAGACCAGGTGCCTACTGGGTAATTAGGTTCTAATCACAAAAAAGGCTGTTAAAGTTAGCATGAATCTCAAACCCTTGCTCTGGTTACACTAAACAAAACTTTTTTAATGCGTCTATGATTCACGTGTAGTGCTTTAATTTTAGAAGTTAATGGAACTGACTGTAATAATCGCCAGAGTACAACACTGCTTTGTATTTTTCAGGCGACAGTCTGGCTGTAAAAGGACAACCTAAGCAACATAATTACCACAGGCCTGCTAGCACGTTAACCAGTGCAATGGACCATAGTGGTTATGGTGCTTAGCGCACTTTTTAAATGGATGCCAGCAGGGCCGCTCTGGGTATAATAAGCAGACCTGGAGAGAATTTTTATACCAGTCCTATAATGTATTGCATCAGTATTGTGTGCAGATATACAGATGGAATGATGCATTTGAAATTTACATTTATATCTTCAATTTTAAGGACTGCACCCACAGGACGTTATTTTAAGTGGAACAAAAGAGACTCATCATTTCAGCACCATTACCACAACATATTGTGAAAAGCCTGATAATGGGACTTAAATGCTGACTGTTGGTTGTTGCACTTCCGCTTAAATTAAAATAGTTATTTTTAAAGAGACATTCCATACCCTATAAAGCACTACAGCTCTCTATAGTCCCCTTAGTGGCTCCAGCAGTCTCACCTCTCCCCTCCAGCACTCCATCCTACTCTCTTCTCAAGCTTCCTCTCCCCTCTACCTCCATTCCTCTCCACCCTCACCCCTCTCCCCCCTTAACCTCCCTCTCCTTCCTCCACCTTCATCATCCTCTTTCCCCCCTCCATCTCCATCCACCTCCATCATCCTCTCCCCCCTTCATCTCCCTCCCTCCTTCCATCTCCCTCCCTCCTTCCATCTCCCTCCATCTCCCTCCTTCCATCTCCCTCCCTTCCATCTCCTCCCCTTCTTCCGTCTCCCCCCCTCCTTCCTCTCCCCTTCTTCAGTCTCCCTCCCCTTCTTCCGTCTCCCTCCGCCCTTCTTCCTCCTCTCTTCCTCCCTCCGCCCCTCTTCCGTCTCCCTCCCTCTTCCGTCTCTCTTCCGTCTCCGTCTCCTCCTCCCCTTCTTCCGTCTCCCTCCCTCCCCTTCTTCCGTCTCCCTCCCTCCCCTTCTTCCGTCTCCCTCCCTCCCCTTCTTCCGTCTCCCTCCCTCCCCTTCTTCCGTCTCATTGATTGCCCTTTGAAGGAGCTTGTCGGTGTTAAAGTGACACTATAGGCACCCAGACCAATTTAGCTCATTGAAGAGGTCTGTGTACAGTGCCTCATTCCCCCTTAGTCTTGCAATGTAAATCATTGCAGTTGTAAACAAACTGCACTGATTACATTGCAGGACTAAGACTGCCACTAGTGGATCGTAATGGACTTTTGATCTCCTAACTGACACTGGACGTCCTCACGCTCTGCATGAGGACATCCAGTCTTAGTAAAATCCCAATAGGAAAGCACTGAAGCAATGTTTTACTATAGGAAAGGCCTATGGCGCTCGCGCGAACATCAGCGCTGGGATCTGGTATGTAAATAAAGTTGTTGTTTTTTTGTTTGTTTGATTTTTAACCCTTTCTGTGCCGAGAAGGGCTGCAAAGGAGGGGGGGCCCAGAGGGAGCTATACTATAAGGAATATAACTTTGTATTCTTTACATTATAGAATCCCTTTAATAGCCAGGTAAACACCAGCTCATTCAAAGTACACCTTGCTCTCTGTGTCTGTGTTGGTCCTCCTCCTCCCCTCCCATATCTGTGGCTGCAAGAAGCAGCCCAGATTACACCCGCCCACTGGAAAACCTCCTGATATCCCGGGGGGGGCCAGTCTGCTAGATATAAAGTTTTTATCTACCAGCTCCTGAAATTAAAGGGACACATACAACATAAATAAAAATCACTGTTTAGTAGATATACCCCAAATGAAAACTTGCATGCGTTTTATTTTGTATTTCTTCAAAATTAAGAAAAGAGGATACACTTTTCATGCATAAAGCTGTTCAGCAAGATGAAGTTATTTAGGGGTCTGGAGTGACGCTTTAATTGTTCAGAGATTACTTGCTCAAGAACCTTCCACTAAAGATCCATGCAGACACACTATTAAATGTAGATTTATATCATAAGAAACTCTATATCTCATCTGTCTCATTGTTGCCTGCCAGCCAGCTGTATTGTTGTGGGCATAGTGTTAAAGATCTTATCAAAGTCACTCAGGGAAACAAACTTTCCAGGTGCTGAGGTGTGGTTAATGTCTAATGCTATTTTCCAGTTGCTGTTGATCAATCCATAGAACATTTGCTTGACTTTGAAGACACACTTGAGGTCGGAGATTATACAGTAAATTAAAAATAGGAAAAGTTTCATCTGTGGCATATTTTTGTGAGTGGGTGTCTTATAATTATAAGGGTTTTTGCAAACTGCAAATATTGGTGCTTATAGTGTCGCTTTTAACACGATCATTCATTTATCGCCTGATTCATGGAAATTATCTGACATTAATGTTAATTTTAGGACATGATCCGTTTGATGCAGTGTATTGGTTGTCACTCAAAATGTGACTAGGGATTATTTTTGTCATATGTACATAGAAAGAGAAATAGCAGGTTTTTCTTTCATGGTTTATTGAAACAGGGACAAAATGTGAAAACCATGCCCTACTGAGCTAGTGAACTGAGAATAAAAGGGGTCAATGGCTGTTATCATAGCTATGAAGAAATTTGACTTTTAGAAACCAAGTGAGAGAGAAAGGAATATGTAGAGTGTTGGTTATTCCAGAAAGGTAAAGCAGATAGAATATAGATTCGACTATAACAAGGTGCTACAGTGGCTGTTGCCTTGCAATGAAATACCAAGACAAGGGCTCCAGACATGTTGAAATCACCAAAACACAACTGAACATATCGCAATTGAACCAAACACCAAATTACATAGGAGTGCTGCTGCCACTTCCAATCAAAATCTGTTCTCTCTTAATGTAATTTGCTTGGTTTGATTTAAAATATATATATATATTTTTTGAGTTAGATGTTATATAATTATTTTTGCTTCATGCCACACCCCCATATTTAAATTAAAATAAAATTAAGAAATGTTAAACTTGACTTTATTGCTGTTTGTGGACAGTTTTCTCCTCCAGTGAAGTCTTCATTTCTGATGACTTGTCCAATCAGGTGCCTCTCATAGAGAAGCGTTAAGGACATGTGCAGCTATCGCCGTAATCCAGTGCTTCTCTATGAGAGAGAAGTATCGAATCCAGTGTTTCAGAGGCAGAGCCGCTGGCATCACCGTACTTCGCTTGCTGATACCAGATGTCAAATACATTCCATAACGGAGTCATTTCCAGTCTGGAAAGCTCCTTATTACCAAACATTACATGGCATGAACATACAATGTGTACTCACATGCGTGTAAAAATCAAGAGAATGGACACCCCTCATAGGCAACTAGCCTACACCGTACCTTGACCAAACAACTCTGCTTCACCAACAACATTTTGTGAATTGATTTGATGAGAGACTGACGAATCCCATATAGAACTTGCCACCAACATAATAAAATGTGTCCTGTCTTCTTTCCTGGAAAAAAGCAAACAAATATGCTACCACACTCTTAACATCTGATTTGTCTTTTGTGAGAGATTTTTCATTTAAAAAAAAAAAAGTTATGCACGATGCGCCATATCTGCTACCATGGTGGAGCTCTGGGGAGAGAGGTTGAAGATATCTTCCTAACTTGAACATCTTTCTCCTTATATCCTCTGTTTATCTTCACATCTGCCTTCAGCTCCTCGTGATTGTCTGCAAAGAGCCTGCTTCACTGCTCTACTCTTGCGAAATTCATTTGCAATCTGCACTTATTTTCCATAAATATTCTATCTTCTATCTATGAAAAACTCCAAAGTGACAGCTTCCCAAGACTTTCAGAATTTTGGAGCAAAAACATTGTTTTTATAACCAAGATTATAGCAACCTTGAATTTCCCTTCCCTAACTTCCCTAAAGTTTCATCAGTGTTAATATTGTCAACTAACAATTTTAGTCACATTTTAATTGACTAAAAATTTTTAGATTTAGTCCACTAAAACTAAAACAATTCACATTACTAAAATACGGATAAAACTGAAATGGCATTTTAGTAAAAAACAAAACTATGACTAAAACTAACTTGAAATTTGTCGCTTCCAAGGCCTACTGGCTGCTATGCAAGTTCTTCTGCCTATTCCCATATTATCTTTGAAACCTACTGTATGCCTTGTGCAAAGAAACAGAATGTCTCCTCCGGTTAATACTTTGTATCAATATACTCTATAATGTAAGTTTTAGCTTGTATGTCTGCTTGTTGCTTCACTATCCATTGGATCATTAATGTTCAGGGGAACAAAAAGTTGGTATCGAGGTAAAACTGTGGAGTATTTACGCCATGGTATCGATTAGTTTTAGTCATAAATAAACTAATTTATTCGTAAAATCAACAAACGTGTCAATATGGTGCTAGGGTTTGCAAGAAAATCCACTAGGAACCACAATTGGAAACTCAGTGAGCAAAATGTCTGCAGCTAAGACATATGTGTATCCCTTTATTAGTTTCTACTGTCTTCTGTTACTTAAATATCCCTCAGTCCAACCTCCGATACTGCACTTTTCTTTTACCTTTGCTGAAAAGAACGTTTGATAAATCTATTGAGATATTTATACTTTTCCATCATGTCTTCTTTCTCTGGTTTTAATTCCCAGACGTTTAGATTTCTAACTGGATTTAGGGATTAGTTATAACTGACAAATTATAAGCAAAAACGTATTCTGACTTCCACTGTACAGCTTTAAAACTATGTTTTACTGTTCAGTTAAATCTGGTTACAGGCTTTTTGTGTGTAACAAGCACACATTTTGGCTGGGTTTAGCTTAACACTTTAATATGATTTTCCAGGACTGCAAGCATTGCCTCACTGTGAATCTTACCACTCTCCGTGTCTGGTGCTACTCTTGTAGCAAGGAAGTGTTTCTGGAACGCAAGCTCAGTGCCCCTTTGCCCCCCACAAAGCAGCAGGAGAGTAACATGCAGGTGCGTAGCTCTTTTCTCGAAATACTAGCCCAGCGCTATTGACTTATGTCTTATCATGGCTGCATTTGCCTTCTGTGTCCAACTAGAATTGAGATTATTGATTGCAAAAGTGTCCTGTCACAATCCTGGGCATACTAATTAATACAGAAGAAAGAAAAAAACATTTGCCTTGCAAATTGAGTCAGATCACGTTCTGCTGGATAGGTCAGCATTTATGCAAATAATTTTAACCTCTTAAAGACCAGTGACATGCTGGCACTTCCTGATATTAACGAATTTGCCAAACTAGAGCTTAACCCCTTCTGTGCTAGAGGATTATTAATGCTTTTGTATTTTGGGTGCTACACGCTTAAAGTGCTGTGCTATTTTAAAAAATCAGGCAGTAAGTTGTAGATGGGATTTAGTTCATTTTTAAATGGGATGCACATATAAAATCAGTATATATTTATTTTTTGTTTTTAATGTGATCTATGCACCTTTCTCTTTTCATACATAGGATACAAAAATGACATCAAGCCTTACGTTAAAACCCCCTGCGGCAGTCTCGTTTGATAATCTGGACATTGCGCTGGAAGAGGAGGATGAACTTAAGACCAGAGGTGAATAGCGTTTGGTTCTAACCCCGATCTGTAGGGGATGATAGTAGGATTGAATTTACAACAGTTCACCTTTTAATAAATAAGCAGCTATACCTGTGCAAAACCTTTATAATAGGCCTATGTATAAAATGTATGCGTCCAGGGGGTGCTTACATTGGTACAAGTGTCAGAAACCGATCTCCCATCATGTATTGTATGGATAATGTGTTAATATGTGAAAAAGAAAAAATATTTACAGACAAACTCTACCCTGGCCAGTCAGGAGTCTCTCATTCTCATTAGTAAAATCTGAACCACAGGGTTTAGGATGGAATAAGTAGCTTATTCACCAACTGAATTGTCTGATAGGCCATTCCACAGCTGCTATTAGTTTAACACGGTATACTGTGTGTGTGGTGAACTACTGACCATGGACTGATTTTACCCCACAAAGGAGGAAATATAAATTCTTCCTCTGACGTCTGAGTGCTCGAGAGAGCTAGCATTTTTACTGATTGCTGCAGGAATTAGCCACGCGTCGCAATGATACAAAGACTGCAGTTTGGTACTAACATTTTTATTAATTGGAAATCTCCCATATAAAGGTATCTCCTATATAGAGAGAATGGAGTGATGCTTACAAGATTATATTTTGCAGAAACCCTTAAATTTAATATGCTGCCTTTTTTATATACTGGAAGAAGGAATTATTGATTACGTCATGGGTCCAGAGAGCTTGAATAATTAAAAAAAACACTTCAAATGCTAAGATTTATAATAATCATCTAAAAAATATGTAATTGTTTTAGTATTTAAGCAAATTATTCCTCTCTCATCACTGTAACAGCCACCCTCATATCATATTCTTATTATTCTCTCCTACCCATTTGGCCCTCTCCGCAGTCACTCCAACTCACTGGCTTCATTGGTAGCCATATAAAACGGTTTGTAGGAGGGTTCTCCCGCTACTCTGTCAGTCGCTCCTTGACATGCATGCTATCATGCAATACAGATGGCATAACTCTTTATGTTCGAAATTTAAATGACTGCTGAGAGACCATTCTTTTGTTTTAAGAACATTTTTACATTTAACACAATGTAAAGATGAAACTTTAAAGGGACACTGTAGGCACTTAGACCACTTCAGCTCATTGAAGTGGTCTAGGTGCAATGTCCTTTTGCACCTAGTGCTGCAATGTATAATGTTGCAGTTCCAGAGACACTGCAATGTTTACATTGCAGCTCTAAGTCTAAGTCTGCCCACAGTGGCTGTCTACCAGACAGTCACTAGAGGGCTGCCTGAATCGTAACGGATCTTAGGTCCGGTAAATTACGCTGCATGTCCTCACGCTATGTGTGTGCAGAGCCAGGAACCATCGGCACTGGGAAAAGCTAAGTAAATAAAGGGTCTTTAACCCTTTGTTCACCTGAGCAGGGGGAGAGAGACGGAGGCACAAGGGAGCTATTGTGCCATCAATACAGCTTTGTATTTCTGGCACTATAGAATCCCTTTAATATCATGACCAATGTGTACCATGACAGCCTCTTTTCACCAGTTTTGCAATTTGAGTATTTTTATTTAATTTTTAACATAACACAACTGTCAAATTTCCCGTCCTGGTTTTAAAGGCCCTCATTAAATCTCCGGGCTTAATGTTTATAGAATGAGGCAGAACAGAAGATGCAATGCTCCAGTTATCTATTAATACATTCCATCTTGTTTTTTTTCCCTTCTTTGCTGGATTACTGTGTGTATCAGTAATGCCAAGAGTTGGAACCAACTTTGGCAAGCTCCTAATCATCTGTGAATAAAATGTAACCACTCCATAGTTGACACACCACTAATTCACCAAGGCTTGCAAGTCGGATGACTTCCTGGCATTCTGTTGCCAAAAAATGTGTTGGGAATGCAGGTTTTTCTCATTAGCTTTTACATTAATTGGATAACTTTCACAGTTCTCAAGATCTTGTGAAAAATAATTAAAGGATTACTCCAACCATCATAACCATTCCAGCCAGCTGTAGTGGTTATGATGGTAGGAGTATGCTAATGTGTCACAATTACAAGTATTTATATAGCGCCAACATATTCTGCAGAACTGTACAATAGAAAACCAAGACACAATAAATTCTAACAAAACATGATTGACATGCTGGAACGAGCTTACAACCGTTTGCTCTCTTACCATGATCCCCGCTGGGCGCCAGGGATTCTGAGGAGCAGGGTTAAGACATTCACCTTCTGTAGATCTGCAGAAGCCAGATCGATCGTAGCAATCATTTATCGGCTGAGAGAGTAAGCTATTAGCTATCCACAAATGAAGGCTCTTCTGTAGAAGTATGCGCAGAATTGTCATAAGCCAGTTCCGAATTCTTGTTCCAGGCTGGGTACTGACACTTTAATGGCGCTGCTCGGATTAAAGGATTAAACTCAGTATGTGCAACATTTCATAGTAAAAGTCGGGTCATAAAGACCTCGGGCACCATAACCACTTCAAATCACTGACCTTTTTATGCATCTTGGGGTAATGAAATCCAAGTCATTGCTTACATTAATTCAGTGCTGATTATTATATCGGAACAAGCATTATGTTGTTTTAAGGGAAACTGTGCTTATGGTTTAGGTCCCTTGTTTATTTTTGTGTTTTGTTCTATTTTTTCATGTTATTAGGATTGACTGGCTTGAAAAACATTGGGAACACTTGTTATATGAACGCAGCTTTGCAAGCACTGTCCAATTGGTAAGCTTGTTGTGAATTGCATGCTACTTGTGTATACCAAATCCTCTCAAATCTTTTCAAATGGATTTAGAAACATAGAAATATTGAATGTGACGGCAGATAAGAACCATTCGGCCCATCTAGTCTGCCCAACTTAGAAGATGTATCTAAATTGTACTAAGGAATACATACTGATTATTGGGAAAATAACCCTGATATATGGTGAATGAATGTGCTAATCTCTAACCTCTTACCTGAATAGATTGTATTTACATATGAGTTTTCCATGATTCGGAGTAAAACATTACTGTCTATTGACCTCCTATATTTGCTCGAATTACTATTTCTTTGTTTGTAAGTAAGAGACTTCTCTTCTTGCTTCCATTCTGCTTTTTACAGTTCAGATGATCAATCATTATTATTGAAATGACCTGTGTCCTGTTTGGTGGAAGTGTCTAAAGAAACTTGTCTTTTTCCACAGTCCTCCCTTGACGCATTTCTTTCTAGACTGTGGGGGCTTGGCACGTACAGATAAGAAACCAGCGCTTTGTAAAAGTTACCAGAAGCTGATGACGGAGCTTTGGCATAAAAACAGGTACACACTGTTTTCTTAGAATGTTCACAAGATAAATGTGAAGGAATACAGAACTTCACTTTTATCTTTCGTGTTATTTTTAATTGGCATTGTCTGGAAGTTCTCTGTTTATTTGATGTGCATCTTTGTGTAGTCTGTATGTCCCGCCTTTCTCTCTTGGCTTGATATTGTCATTTATTTTTGTGTTTTGGTGTTACTCTGCCTTCAAATTCTGTACAGTATAAAATCTATCAGCTTTTTATTTCCAAGTGTATCAGATGAGGTCATTTTTCTTCAATTCATTCCCATATTAGAATAAATTAAAATTATTTCTCCCTTTTCTAGGCCGGGTTCGGTTATACCCACCAACCTTTTCCAGGGAATAAAGTCAGTGAATCCTACCTTTCGGGGTTACTCTCAACAGGTATGCATTTTTGGGCTAAGATTCTGTTTCTGATTGGCAGACAATTACTGTGTTTTTTTTAAATATATCTGATTCTCATTGTAAAATCACACAGGCTGTCTTTAATGTGGGGCATACGGGACAGCTGTCCCGGGCCCAGTTACTCCTGGGGTGCCCAAAGCAGCTGCACTATTGGCCATCACTGATCCTAAAAGGAATAGTTGCAGGCAGCGGACCTGCACACTAAGGAGGCCAATACACTTAGGGCCATCCGGTGGGCATGTGTCAGCAGGGGCCTGGTTGGGCGCTGTGGCCCTTTAACATCGTTACAGGGCTCCTTTCGCATCGGCAGCATGGGAGGAAGTGAATGCCTGTCACCTCCTCCCACAGAGATTGGAGCTGTGCAGGAAAGGGGAGGAGACAGTGAGGATGGGGCCAGGCCAGGAGAGCCTAACTCACAACCAGCCCAGCCAGCTGGTCCCCATCGAAGCCACCCTCCTGCAAAAGGTAAGAAACTGGAGGGTGGTTATAAAGGTGTAAATTTTGCATATGTGTGTGTGTCAGTATGAATAGCAGTGCTACACACAGTGCACCACTGCTCCAGGAAGCACCTCTAGCAGTCATCTGAGGAGTGGCCAAGGGAGGTATCACTAGGCTGTAATGTAAATACTGCATTTTCTCTAAATAGACAGTGTCTACTGCAAAAAGCCTGAAGAGAATGGTTTTACTCACCAAAACAAATGCAATAAGCTGTAGTTCTTTGAGCCACGAGCAAGCCCTTGGTCCAGCCAAACTCCTTATTCTAATTACTCCCCCTGCCCCCTTCCCAGAAGTGAAAAGACAAAATCTAATATATGTTATTCACCTATTTAATTTTTTTTTTTTTTTATTGTTTTTTGATATTTTCTTTTAAAAAGGCAAACTTATCCCTAACTGTCAGTTTTCAGAATGAGAGAAGTTATGGTGCCACTTTGTGTTGTGTGCTCTGCCTTCATAGGATGCCCAAGAATTCCTACGCTGTTTGATGGACGTTTTACATGAAGAATTAAAGGAGCAAGTTATTGAGATGGAGGAGGACAGCCAGAACAATATCTTGGAAGACAATGTTGAGGAGGACAAAAACCAGTCGGATAATGATTTCCAGTCCTGTGAATCCGGTTCCACCAGTGATAACGCTGAGAATGAGAGCAGGAAGCTGTCTGAGGAACTGACAGAATCCAGCATGTTAATCCAGGAGGAGCAGAAAGATTCCGAGCCCTCTAAGGTCCGGCATAAAGATAAACTGTTCTCTAATAACAACTGCCTGCAGGACTTGGAGAAAAATATTGAAAACCTATCAGAAGAAGGGGACCCTCTCTCCCATGGCACAGTGAAGGTGCAGATACAGAGCAGGATAGCAGGTAATTGTAGCAACTAAAGTGCAATTGTGGGAAGGGAACATGTCAGATTTGCTAACTAACATGCTAACTAAGACCACTTTCTGCAATTCAATTTGTGTTGTGTGCTGTGTTTATTAAAATTACCGTAGAGTTGATTCTGGGAAATTAACTTCCAGACTTTGTACTCATGTTAATGACCTTGGTAATCATGGTAATGATATTTGCCATCCCTAACTGTATTTGTTGCACAGGTTTATCTTTTACTTTATTTGTGTCGCTGATCTTTCTCCTGCCTTAAAGGAACACTATAGGGTCAGGAGCACAAACATGTATTCCTGATCATATAGTGTTAAAATCATCATCTAGCCCCTACTTGCCTCCCTAAATATAGTAAAATCTTACCTGTATTTAAATCTGCAGCTGCTGCCTCTGCCCTGCCTGCTGTTTTAATCAGAAGTGATTCTGTGAGCCAATCACAATGCTTTCCCATAGGACTACCTGAGACTGTCAAGGAGGCAGATCAGGGGCCAAGCCAGCAGAAGCCAAGGCCAATCAGCATCTCCTAATAGAGATGAATTGAATCAATGCATCTCTATGAGGAAAGTTTAGTATCCTGAGGGTGGAGACACTGAATTGCAGTGATGAACAGTGTGCAGCGCTACCCCAGGAAGCACCTCTAGTAGCCATCTGAGCTGTGGCCAGTGGAGTTATACCTAAAATAGCTAGACTAAAATGTAAACACTGCATTTTTTTTCTGAAAAGACGGTGTTTACTGCAAAAAGCCTAAAGGGAAATTATTTTACTCATCAGAACCAATACAAGCAGCTGTAGTTGTGCTTGTGATTGTGTCCCTTTTAACATGTGTTTGTGCTGTTTATCCTTATGTCTCCCGTGCTATATGTTTGTGTTGCAGACTATGCTACAGAGGTGAACATGAGTGATCTGTCTGGTTCACAAATACCTTTATTAAATGAAAGCATGAATGCACATCTGTCCAGCAGCCCGCCTAAGACCGGAGGTGTGTGGACTGGTCATAAAAAAGGTATTTTAAATTCTTACTAAAATGTAACAATTAGTATAAGGAAAATAAATTTGAAATAGTTGCAGTTATCAGATTTATTAAAATCGTACATAACCTGTAATGTCATCTTTTAGGTAAATCCTGGGTTTGAAATAGTTTAAATAAGGATATGTCCTTTTGGTGAAAGTTTGTTTAGTATTTGTCTTTATTATTATTACTTACCGTAGTTACATTTTCGTTTCGTTCTCTTTAGTTGTCCCGGCATGTCCTCCAAAAAAGAGAAGGCAGAAGAAATATCGCAGTGTCATATCAGACATTTTTGATGGCACGATCATGAGTTCTGTGCAGTGCTTGACTTGTGACAGAGTAAGTGCAAAGAAAGATTGCTTATTAACCAGCACACGCCTATGGGTGAAAAAACAGACATCCATATCTGAGCTTTTAAGGGACACCATAGTCACCAGAACAGCTACAGCTTAATGTAGTTGTTTTGGTGAGTATAATCATTATATGCAGGCATTTTGATGCAAGCACTGCCTTTTCAGAAAAATTTCTATTGCCCCTCGGGACATCTCCAAGAAGCTACTACTCAGATGGCCACTGGAGGTGCTTCCTGGTTCGGTGCTGCACAGTAGGAAGCACTGCCGTTCAGCGTCTCCATGCTGAATTTTCCTCATAGAGATGCAGTGATTCAATGCATCTCTATGAGGAGGTGCTGATTGGCCAAAACGGCATTTGGCCCCACCCCCTTGCCGATTTTATCCAATCCAATGTTTTCCTCTTGGGAAACGATTGAATTGGCTAAAAATCGGCAATTCTGATGTCACCAAGGGGACGGCGCTTGCGCAAGCGGACCTTCACGGCGCTGGAAATAAGGTGGGTTTTAATTCCTTTTAGAGGGGCTAAGGGTGAGCAACCAACTAAATTGTGGGTTTTGCTCAATAGTGTCAGGAATACACTCTATAGTGTTCATTTAATGTAGATCGGTCAACTGTATTTATTTTAAATTTGAAACAAAAAACATACAACGTATATTTTCCATAATTTTTACGTCCCTAAAACTATTTTTGAGTTAATTAGTACATAACTTGAAGATGGAGGTGGCCCTTTTGCACTGTCACATTTTTCATTCAACTGTCCGCAGCCCTGTTTTCCAAGAAGAGAATACACAGCATTTTCTATTGAAGATGGCAGTTTCATACACATTTGATCATTGGTATCTTCAAACATATGCATCGAGATTTCAGTGCATATTGCAGAAGGTGACGTGGGTAACATCAAGTGTCAATGATGCTGTGTTTGGTGTAACTCTGTATAACTGTATATGGCCACACATACACACATTTTTACATTCTTGTGACATTTTTAGGAAGCTACATTCCCAAAAATGCCCTTGTGGTTTTATCAAATATCCAAAAGCAGTGTATTTGATTTTTACATATCTATTTTGTTACAGCTACTTCATGTGACGAAAATGACATTTATAATTCTGTGATAATATTTCTGAAGTGTGTGAAATAGTGCAAGATATAGGGATACTCTTTAATCTGTACTACATGTTATTTTCTCAATATTTACTTTTGGGATGAATAAGCAAAGAAAAACTGAGTAATACACAATTTAAGTTATTTTATTCACCCTTATAATCAGTCTTTAAATAAAATTTTGTTTTTCTTTTTTTTATTTATTACTTTCATGTTATTTGGTTCAATTACATGTAATGCTCAGGGATTAAGTGCATTCATTTGGGTGGGGGGACTGCTGTTTGTTTATAAAAAGAGGCTATCCATGTTATAAAAGAGCATGTGGTGGGTCAGTACTTTACCTTTGAACAGGGGATTTTGTAGTATTTACTAATGTATGTATATGTTTCTTGTCTCCATTTGTTGCACTGCTAGGTTGTATGTGTAGTTTCTCAGTCAGTGGAGGGGAGATTTTGTTTCTATTGATTTCTAACTGATGTGTCTTTCAGCAGCCTCCTCATCTGCAGTGCTGACACCAATGATTGCCTAGGAAATTGCTTCCCCCTCCTTGCTGAATTTAAATTTGTGAAAGGCCTTTTATTACAACCTGTGAATTGTTTTAAATGTATATTTTAATGGGAGACTAACACAGGATTCTGCAACTAAAGAAAGTGTTTCCAGAAAATAAAAAAATAAAACAAACCATAATATAAAGCCGGTTTTATATCTAATATATACTGCCATGCTTCGTGCCCTCTGAAGGTTTTTCTATAACTTTCTTCTAAGTGTTTTTTTTTTTTTTTTTTACTTGGTCAGATTTCAGTAACACTGGAGACATTTCAGGACCTCTCATTACCCATACCAGGGAAGGAAGACCTTGCTAAGCTGCACTCCTCCAGCCATCAGACTTCCATGATCAAGGCTGGTTCATGCGGAGACGCGTATGCACCCCAAGGATGGATAGCCTTTTTCCTGGAGTATTTTAAAAGGTATCCCGTTTGTCTTGATTATCGTCACGCTGCAGAAAGTCTTGCTTAATAACAGGATATAACCTGCTATGTATATTTATGTCACTATTTATTTTTTTCTCCAGCTGGTTTTGGGGACCCACTGTGACGCTGCAGGACTGCCTAGCTGCCTTTTTTGCCAGGGATGAACTTAAGGGTAAGTTCTCTTTAGAGCAAAGCAAAGTTATTACATTTGTATCACATTTTAATTTTAGTAAAAATGTTAATGTTGTTGTTGCAAGTGGCCATGTTTGTTCTGTTGCCAATATTCTCCTGGTGAAGATTGATAATATGCTTCTTTTTTGGACTCGTATCGTAACTGTAAACCCCATTTATATGGTAAAGGTTGGTCACACTAATGTCATGGCTGACAGAATTTCTAGTAACGACGATTCATTGGGAAAATGACTTGCATAATTACCTTAAAACAGTTAATTCTCCTTTCCAAAAATGATTAGGGGAATTCGATTTTATTTACTTATTAAAATCCTTTAACAGTCTGTACTAGACCTTTTTAATTGTGACAATAAGGCTTTATTCATTTCAAGGGCATGAAGTCTACTAGTGCATAAATATCAAATGTATTTATTTTTATTTAGACATATAGTCTTGTTCTAGATTAGAAATATTTGCATTTTTTTAGGGATTTTTTTGTTTGGTGTGCCTGTGATTAGACTCCATTATCCTTTGAATTGCAATTAGATTACAATATGTGATGCAAATTGTGTTTCTCCATAGGTGATAACATGTACAGCTGCGAAAAGTGCAAAAAGTAAGTTTTCTTTAAAAAACAAAAAAACAAATTTGAAAACCATTTCTGTAAATTAGTTTTTTAGTAGCTGATAATCAAATCGACCTTTCATATTTTCCAGGTTACGGAACGGGGTAAAGTTCTGCAAGGTCCAGAAATTTCCAGAGGTATGATGGTCTGGGTTTTTATTTCCATAAAATAAGCGATATTGTGTTTAACTATAAACAACAAAACTCACTAGTGGACAACAGTCTCAGGGAGATAAACAAATAAAAACCCTTTGAACTATAACTGGGTAAAACAATAAAATGTGTTAACATATAGCTTTTTTTCACAGAGGCAATGCTTATGTCATGTACAAATATTGTAAACATAAACACGCAAAGTGCCAATCATTACAGTAACAGGACACCAATTCCTACTAAATCTGTGTATTAACAGGTCACTGTAAGCACCATCACAACTTTGCATTATTTTCATGATGCAGAGAATCCCCCGCACATCTCTTGGCTGAAGTGGTGGAGAAGATTTATAAAAATCAAAGTTTCCAACTTTGTTATTGTTACAAAATGTATGTTATCCAAATCTGAGTCCAAATTAAATAAAAAAAATAAAAATAAACATCCCAAACACTGTAACCACTTGACCAACAGCATAAAAGAATGGGTTTCAAGGTTAAACTTGATGGACTTTGGTTCTTTTTCAACCTAGACTACAGTGTGCTGTAGTGGTTATGGTTCCGTAAGTGCTCTGGTGTCCCCCCACCCTACTTTAGTAGACCCAAGTGATAATTCAAACCATTATCAAACTGTTACATAGGGGGTGACAAAGCACTGCGGGTATCATAACCACCACATAGCACGGCACTGGTTATGATGCTTCCAATGTTCCTCAAAACAGTCAAGCAAATATCACTGCAGCTGTGTCCAAGACCCTTAGATGCAGAATTCTCGGTTAAAGGTGAGTGATAACAAGTTTGCCAACTTTTGCTGAGCTCTCCTTCTGTTTCTCTGCTGATTGACTGCTGTCAGTTGACAGAGCAATTCCACTTATCCTCTGTGATAAGGGGAACTGGTTTTAGTAGATAAACCGATAAACTACTGATCACAGGGTGGCCTGTTGGACAGGGTTATATGCAATAACAATAGACTCCATTCACCAGAATGAAACACTCCTGATTGGAATATTCTGGTGTCGGTGGTGTCTGTCTGTGGGTAGACTCACTAAACTGTGTGTCTGTACAACTATCTGTGGCAAGTCAGTCTCGCTCTCACTCTCTCTCTCTCTCTATATATATATTCCTTATTCTCCATTCTAAATGCATGTTGTATTTGATTGATTATATTGTTTTCTGCAGATATTGTGCATCCATCTGAAGCGCTTTAGACATGAACTCATGTTCTCCACCAAAATTGGCACCCACGTGTCCTTCCCATTGGAGGGTTTGGATCTCCAGCCATTCCTTGCTAAAGACAGCCCTAGTCAAATTGTAACCTATGACCTTTTATCTGTGATCTGTCACCATGGCACTGCCAGCAGTAAGTAACATTCAGTCCGATTTTCCCAGTACTTACATTTCATGGTTTCAGAGCGTATTGGTATTTACATGAGTTAGATTACAAAGCAATGTTGCCCATTGTAACGTGGGTTTATTTTTACATCCTCTTGGTATAATTACTTACCTGGCAGGCAGAGCTAATCCAATTTACCTTGCTATCAGAAACCGTAACTATGTGTCAGGTTATCATAGCCTCAGGTACTTTGCTAGCATAGTTCATTGTCTGATACCAATTTTTTAGAACGAGACTAGCACAGTATAAACTAAAATTTTGACTCCTAGAAATTATATTATTCTTATACTCCTGATGTCTGCATCATAATTATGATTTAAAGGGGTTGCTCCAAGCACCATAAGCACTACAGCCTGTCTTAGTAGTTATGATGCCAGGAGGTTCCCTGGCACAGTTCCCTGGTAATGGGGCAAATTGTTTAAGTAGATGTTTGTCACTTACCTGGGTCCCCAGCTGGGCTCCGAGGCACCCTGCTGTTGTGATGATGCGGTTCCAGTTTACATTCATTGGCTTAGAGCATCCGCTGACCACTCTCAGCCAGTGAATGGCTCAATATGAAAAAAAAAAAAAAAAAATTGCACAGAATTTACATTACCTGATATGAAGTTACACGAAACGCTGCACATAGAGATTTCAGGTACTGAGTCTGAACAAAGTGGGTTTTTTTCCATAAATGTCCTATTTATTATCGATATAACATCTTGTTGCAGGTGGACACTACATTGCTTACTGTCGCAACAATCTAAACAACCTTTGGTATGAATTTGATGACCAGAGTGTTACAGAGGTGACAGAGTCAATTGTCCAGAACGCAGAAGCTTATGTCCTTTTCTATAGGTAAGCTGAATGTAAACACATGCTGATATCTATACACAGGACAAGAAAGAATTTATATTTAATAAGAAGTTAAATTCTAGATGAACAAATTATGAAATATTTCTCATCATGTATGCATAATGCAGGAGGAAAAAAATAATATAACAACCTTAGTTGATATATATGGTCCAGGAGCTGATCCACCTAAAATGGCTTTACAAATAAACTCCAATGTTGTCTGAAAGGAGCTAGAAGAAATGAAATAAATGCAGTAATATTATATGGTGTATACACCTTTAAATCTGCTATAGGCAGAGTAAATGGAGTGAGCACCAGATACTATACTTTACATATACCATTCCAGAGTATTTGAGAAACAGTATATGAGACTGTTCTCTCTGGTGATGAAAGATGAATTAGATCACATAAAATATTACGTGCAATATTACTATGTATGGTGTCTGTACCTTTAAGTCTATTATGGAATAGACAGAATAGGGCATTCACCCAAAAATGCTGTACTTTTAAAAAAGATATAAACCTTAAAATGGGAGTACAGTATTGAAAACTGCTCCTATAATGCAATAATTTGTAAAGCCATTTTAGGTGGATCAGCTCCTGGACCATATATATCAACAAAGGTTGTTATATTATTTTTTTCCTATTACAAAAACCTCTTAAGACAGGTGTTTGGTGAATTCCTGTATTTATCCAGTTTTGAGCAATTCACCTAAGTCTGATTCCCTCATACCTGTGTGTTGCATTAGGCATACCAGTTTATTTTATGCATAATGCAGTGTTTAGTTTGAATGTATGTTACAATAAAAAATATCAGTTATAAATATTCACAAGATGAAAGATCTTTCACTTAAGCAACCTCGGTTAAACCATGTTAAGCAGATTCCTTTTCCCAACACATTATTAAAACTTCAAACTGTCCAGCAGAAAAGCAGCACTTGTTATTTTCTGGCGTAACGAAAAGGATGTTCCTAGCCGGTATTTTTCATTCCTCCATCAGAAAAGCCAACGAAGATGCACAGAAAGAAAGGCGACGAGTCTCGAGCCTTCTAAATACGATGGAGCCCAGTCTTCTCCAGTTCTATATTTCTCGTCAGTGGCTTAACAAGTTTAAGACGTTTGCGGAGCCTGGACTCATAACGAATAATGACTTTCTGTGTCCGCATGGGGGTAAGTGTAACTGGAATTCCTAATGTGTACAATGTGCATTGTATTAAACAATATGGCATTACAGTCTTTTAAATACCATGCAAACTGCAAGGTAACTTGTACACAGCACATTATATTTTTAAGGGTTTTCGGTTTGTATATTTATGCCATCAGTGTACCAACATAGCAACCTCTGTGCTGGTGAATGGACTGCAACGTGCATCTGCCCGCTCCCACAATGCACTGTGTTCTTGGACGGTTCCTGTAGCTTTGTTGGTGAACAACTAGCTCATTCTCTGAACATGAATAAAACGTCCATTGCTAATTCTTAATCCCTGGGTTGTATCCCAAGACTGCTTCCCTGTGCTTTATTCATTGGGCTTCCTTTGGCTAGAACAGGGATAGCATATTAATCTGATCACATCTAATAAATGTCTCACTGCACTAAGTTTACTCTTAAAGAATGGGTCGCCGAGTTTAATACCTTCTATATAAGTTTGGTTCCTGTGAAGTTAGGAATAACCAATTAAAATATTAGGTTAAGAAAGTCTTAACATTCGGCATACAATCCAAATGATCCGATGAGTATTGTCTAATGTCAGCGACTGCTACTGTGCTGCAGGATGTCCTCCGCCCGTTCCTTGTGGCTATGAAATGAGGATGATTATTTATTTATTTTTTTTATTGTCACATTTCTGAAGATGGTATTTCTGTATTTTAATTAATGTGTGGGTGATGTTAATTGCAGATCAATTAACAATGGTGTGAGATTTCTACAAAAATTCAGTCTGTGGCCTCCTAATTTAATTCTAAACATGGCTGCATCTTCTCCCTATGGAATAAAAGGGTGCGGTTCTGCAAGTTGCTGATAAATAATTTAAAGGCCCATCTGTTATGCAGCGTTATCATGTTCTCTTTATGTAGTACTTGTCTTGCAAGGATTATGTGCCGTACTAATTTTTCAATAAGGGTATGTTTGTATTAAGTACTGTACATTTATATTTAAGAATGGTCTTTTTGCCCTCGGGTTACTTTAAAATATATGCAGTCTGTTAGAAAATCTATATCATTGTACAGTAAATCTATAAACCAATGCTTTTTATTACTCCATAAGTTAAATCTTTCTGGAGACAGTTTTATTGCAATCATTTTTTTTTTCTCCTAAATACCTTTTAGTTTTTTTCTGAAATTCACAGGTTATTTGTTCATGTTGGATAAAATACATTTTTCTACACTTACCTGATTTATTACAGAATGTTGTTTTTTTTTTTTAAACAATCTTTTTAATTATATAAAATTGTTTTGTAAATTAACCATAAAATTACTTTTATTTTACCTATTTTCTTTTCATTCCAATAGACCTTTCTGTAAACGAGAGTAATAAATTCTGGTTTTATTTTGTAAACTAAATCTTTCTGTAATCCAAAGGTTTATTTTTCCATTAAATCATTGTGAAAGCCATATATGTTTTATTCTGTACCGTAAATGATTCTAAACAATTTTTTTATTATTATTATAAAGTAAACTGTTGTTAGCCTAAGACCTTTAACATTACATAAAACAAATTTTTCTGTAAACTACAGGTGTTCCACCTCGTAAAGCAAGTCTTATAGAAGAACTTGTTGTGATGCTTCCTCAGAACATATGGGATTATTTGTACAGCAGGTACGCCCTTAATTCATTCAGTATTGCAGTGCAGCTGGAAGCTCAGATTTCACTTCTATAGGACTTACCGTACACAAAGGAGGTTAAACGCATTGCTTATTGTTCACTTTATATGGGAGGGGCTGATTCTTATTTAAAGTCTGTTTGCAATAGTTTGATGTATAGTGTGAGGTCCCTGGTGTTTATAGGATTTAACCCATAAATTGACACATCTAGAATCTGAAAATTACAGTGTGGGGTTATTCTCTAAAATAAAAACAATTGACTACTTTAAATAATTTGAGCAGACAGAACAAACTTCTTGTTTATAAAGAGTGTGTGCGTGTACACACATACATATAAATACTTTTCTCTTATGTTTTTGTCCGTACTCATTTTTGGCGTGCTCCTTTGTTTGTGTAGGACTGGATAAGCAGTTATTTCATATGGTTGTGAAGATGGTGTGCTTCCCTTGGATGGCCCCCAAGCATGGCTTAAAGAGACAGAATGAAAGAAATTAGGGCTATGAAGGCAGCGAGTATCTCTCATTAAGCAGATCAGAGGCCAAATGGGGCAAATCCTCTTACCCAACCTTTTTCCACTAAGATACTGCAATGATTTTGATATCTTTTCAGCAAGAGTCTTTATGGATACCATCTCCCCTTCACCTTCTATCTACCTTCAGTCCTTTCATTTAGACAAACTTTTTGTTCTGTTGTGTGACACTATTAAAGGCAGAACAGTTTTCAAAAAGTTAGAGGATTAAAGGGCTGATTTATTTGTTTTGCTACTTCCTGTGAAATTCCAGATTCTGCTTCACCAGAAGTGACATGGCCCCATTTCCTAAACGTTACTCCCTTACCTCTTAACCTCCTTTGGGTCTAACGTGCTACAGGTGGTGGTTTGAACATTTGAGAAATACTTAACTTCCCATATATGTTTCCTTACTACCTCCCATATATGGATATTACCCCAAACACTCAGGGAAAAGAAATGTGTAATAAATAATATTCTGTTTTCTCTTGAGTATTTAAGGCAGTAATTTTTCTAGGTTATTAAATATATTTTCTAGTATTTGGTGACTTAGGTCCTATAGGACGAGGGGCTTGTTATCTTATCTAGGGGGCTTATTGGCTGGGCAGATCCTCATAAACTATGGAAGAACTGCCTGTCTAATCCTAGGGTGAGGAAGGAGCAGCCCAATTGTGTATAATGTCTCAAACGCTTAGGAAAAGGGGATTTACAGTATGTGTTTTTTTTTGTTTTTTCCTGCGTAACCGTTTATTTATTGTGAAATGTTTGTTTCCTAGTTTACAAGATGATCAGCAGAATTTCACTCTCTCTCGTGAAATATTTGAATTTCTGATGATTATTTTATGTACACTAGATATGGAGGTGGCCCAGCTGTCAATCATCTCTATGTGTGTCACACATGTCAGACGGAACAGGAGAAGGCCGAAAAGAGACGGAAAATGGAACTGGAAACTTTCATTCGGGTACCAAAAAAAAAAAAAAAAGCATTTGGGCAAATGTCATTGATCACATCCCCTGCCAGCATTCAATCTAAAAGTGCTCAGGTTGTTGTCACGGTGTTTATTTTAATAATAAACAAAAATAGATACTCCAGCATTTAGATGATGTGCCTTACCTCAAACACTAAAGTGCAAGTGCAGCTCTATGTTGATATAAAAATTGCCTTAAAAGCTTACCCCTAAATATAGGAACAGGGAAACCAATACTCATATATATGAAAAAGAAGAGAAAACAAATATACAATAGTGCAATACAGTTCTGCTTCATATGAAAAACAAATTACCTGGAAATTATATATGCTCACAATTTAACAAGCCTTTTGTATGGTATGGCTCTGAACGTAAGGAATCCTGTGCCTTTGTAGACAGGTTGCCAAGTATGGGGCTCCAAGTAAAGGTGAGAGTATGAACAAACATAAATTTTACTATATGGTTTATAAGCAATATTGCACTAGATTGGTTTACTTTTCTCTCATAAAGAAAACTAGCTCAAAATAGATTCACCGATTACTCCTGATTGTTAAAATGCCCAATATGTCTAGGATTTTAATAATTTTTTTAAAAGTTATAAAATAAAAAAGCAAGGAGTGAATTGCAGTTTTAAGCTAAAACTATGCAAGATTTGGCATGCTGAGGTTACAACTTAAATTGCTATCACAGAATCCAAACATGCTACACAAAAGTTTATATTTGTAGTAAATACATCCCCATGGCTATGTAATTAAGATCATTTTGACACTTTTTATTTAACCATTTATCACCCATCCTCTAATCCCACAGCATGATCATGCTACCGTGGCATTTAAAGAGCTATGAGCAGTGCTTACTCTGCACATAGCCCTTCTTTCAGTCTAGGGCAACCAACTGAGGAAGAGGACACCCAGGTATCAAAAGATCCCTTTTTTTAAGCTCTGCAGACTGGGGGCAGTGGATGAAATTCCAGGGCTGATAAAGATTGCTCTACAGCAGTATTTTAAGGGCTATGAGCAGCATTTACTGTGAGCACTGCTCATCTGTCAATCTGTACCACTAATTGTGCCCCCACCTGACAGAGGGCACCCCAGGAATCAAAAGATATCTGGAGGGTTTTGGCACCAGCAGGGATTTAACTTACTGTGGCTCCAGCTGACAAAGGAGACCCACAGGAATCGAAAGATAACTGGTAGTTCTTGGTACCAACAGGGATTTAACCTCTGCTGGTACCTTTACTGCATGACAGTCTATGCTGTCACTGGGCAATAAAGGCCTGCACTGTATGATGGTGTAGACTGTCTATGTGGTTAAATACTGCTAATGTAAAGAGAGCAAATGTAGTTTTTAAGTGCTGGTATACCTATAAATGTCTTTGTGAATTTAAATATTTAATTTAAAGGGGCCCTTGTTTTCAGCCACAGATATGTGGTAGATAGTATGTTTGTGTGCTGTACAGTGTATGATTACTTAGTGTACTTCTGTTTTTCTGTAGCTAAATAAAGCATTCCAAGAAGAAGACTCACCGGCGGTTATTTACTGCATTAGCATGCAGTGGTTCAGGGAATGGGAAGGTTTTGTCAAAGGAAAAGATTGCGGTAAGCTTTTTTTTTTTTTTTTTTTTAAATAGGGATGCGGGGGTGGATTGTTGTTTTTTTGGTTATGGTTTGTACACCGATTTTATGCTCACTTTATTTGCCATTATCCTCATTGCAAGTGGGCAGTGCCCATTGGCTCATCCACCATGCACACATGATTGCAATATAGTTTCCAATCTAAAATGTAGCAACTTTATGATCTAATGCCTTGCAACTTCTGTCTCTTTCAGATCCACCGGGTGCCATTGACAATACTAAAATAGCAGTCACCAAGTGTGGTCACATTACATTGAAGCAAGGTAAGCATTTTCGATGACAACAAACTGGCATTGTGGTTTAATTAATAAACTGGGAATTATAAAGAATTGGCCAGGGAATTGTATGTTTTTAGGACAAAATAGCAGAATTGGAATATTTCCCCAATTGGATATTTGGGCTGAAGATTTGTAATTTGCTTATTAAATTTCCACAGTTCCCAGTTTATTGAATAACTATGGGTAAGCACAATGGATTCACTCTCACATTTAATAACTGCTATCCTGCCATCACATTGCAGTATATATATATATATATATATATATATATATATATATATATATATATATATATATATATATATATATATATATATATATATATATATATATATAGTTTGGTTGTTTTAAATCTGTACACTGACATAATAAATTTGAAATGAGTCAATGAGGGTTATTCACAAAAGTGAGTATTCAAGTTGAATTCAAAGTGGATTTCAAACTTAAGGTCAAAATAGCCAAATGCAAAAAATTATTTTACGTAAGCTATGCTTTTGGTTTGGCTATTATGTGGATATAGGAGACATCATGTACAGTGTGATATGGCTTTCAGAAAACAAGCAAATCAACCCTTGATACATTAAAATGTGTGGGGGGAAAAAATGAAAAAAAGTTTAAAGGGATTATCTTCAGTCTAATTTCTAATACAAATGTGTCAATACAAGAAGAAAATGAAACATTAGGAAAAAAGTACATAATACAACATAGCGTAAATCCTTCCAGATTATTTATTTTGAGTAAAGTTTGTTGGAAATGTAAATGTAAATATGATTTTAAAAAATTAACGGCACACATCCAGATTTGAATCTGCTCACACATTATTGAGCATTCTGTACTTGCTATGCACAATACTTTTGCAATTTAATTTCTTATTTTTTGATGTCATGGAAAGTAAAATATATGTAAAAAGCAATCTGTAACTTCAGAAGTAGATCATGGACAAAAAAAGCTAAAATCATGCAGAGTATCTTTGCACATATGTACATGTCATAACTCACAACTGAATAGCAATTTTGTAAGGGATTCTGCTGAAATAACTTTTAGTAAATCCCCATATTCCTGAGGCTCTTAGTGACCTTTATTAAGGCACCCAATGTTTGATAGGCTATGGTAAATATATACAAAATGAACATACAGTAAAATTGTGTAACTATTAGAGAACATATCGTGACTGTATCAGTGCCCGTGTGCAGGAGGATTATCGATCGCTGAACTAGGGTAATAACATTGCTATCCATCGTTTGTATGCTAGTTTGAGCAGGGCCTCCTTCATCTCCTTCCCATTTTTGTAATTGTAAAGCTCTGCTGAATATGTTGGTGCTAATAATGCTAATAATAATATTGATAAATGTATTAAAGCAAGTTCCACTGGTGTTTTACTTAAAACATTCCAACAGCAAGCTATTAGAAGCAGAAAACCTTGTTCGTGAGAAATGAGAAAGATTTGACTGTTGTGCTGTGAGGTTAATGCACCGACTTAACTCCTTAATTTGTGCTCTGGTTCTTTTTATAGGGGCAGATTCCGGGCAGATTTCAGAGGAAACCTGGAATTTCTTGCAGTCCATCTATGGCGGAGGCCCAGAGATCACCATCCGTCAAAGTGTAGCTCAGGCAGAACCAGAAGGAGCTCAGTCAGAAGAGAAGATTGATGTGGAGACACGGAATGTCTAAATTTTCGCACTAATATTATGGAGATGAAGTCCCTATTTTTTTGTACTGACTGTTTCCCTACATTAGGTTCTGAGGTTGTAAAAGACCTTAGGGGGAGGAGGGGGTTGTTTGGCTGTGATTGTTCATGACCTATTTATGTTTCGTAAGCAAGCAGGGAATATGCTGAGAGTTTTATTTCAGATCACCTGTCTATACATATTGAATGATTTAATTTTTAAAAGCATTCTAAAAATCTGTAAGTGTATATAATGTGAATGGATTAGCCTGTCGGTGGCTGTAGGATGTGATGTTCAGAGTATGGCTCTGCATGTGATTCATTCCAACCCTTCAACTGTGCCGTGGGATAATTGGTTGGAAACCTGTGCTGCAAATTAATTCATAACCATTCCTGAACCTGCCTCGTTTCTCTCCTCAGCTGCAAGGGGCAGCGCCTGTACCCTGCGGGCTGCAAACTGCTTGTATTTTGGGAAGGCAAGCATGTTCCAGATTTTAAACTTTTCTACATTTTGTAGAAATGTACGGTGTGTCAGAAGGAAATGAGCTTTTTAAAAAAATTCAGCTAATAGATATGAGAGAATTTGGTAACGGACATTTCCATAATTCTCTATACCCTTTTACATAGTATTTTTGTAAAACTGAATATATTTGGCCAGTAGTGGGGAAATTGTGAGCTATTTAACGTGACTCAGGTAATGCTAACAGGTTTTTGGTCAGGGTTCGCACTCTGTGCATGATCTGTGGAGTACAGTGTATAATTCCCAAATTTTTTTGAATTTTTTTTATACTTTTGTTTTGTGTGTACCAAATGTTTAAACATGAAAGATGTGCAAACTGTTTGTCTAAAATCTAACAGTTAAAACGTCTGGGGGAGCTCAAGGGTTGCGAAACAAACTTTTTTAGCACATTCCTTCCGGCGCAGAATAAGCCTAATGTTTTTATAGCTATAGCGAAAAGGGATACTCCACACATTCTCTACAAACGCACAATAGACAAATGCTAGTATGGCACTCTCTCCTTGCCAGTCTTGTCAGGAAGGCCGTTATTTTATTTTTTTAATGTTATTTAAATATTTGCTTATTTGGGCAAAAAGGATTTATTACATGAAAATGCTCTCTCTGTCTTTAACATAAACCAAGACGTACAAATAATGGCTCAGAGAATATGAAGTAAGCACAAGCAAAGGTTGGGGGAAAAGCTCTGGGATATAAGAAAGTAAATACAATGTAGAACTTTGGCAAAGCTAAGAAGACCTCGTTTTGTAAACAAACTTTATTTCCCCTTTTCTAGTAGTTAAATTTAAAATGTAATAGCACATTCTCTCTGGCAGATGAATGTATTGCATGATTTTTGGAATAAGTAGCATTATGAAAAAGCCATCAGGAGCGACTGAATAACTAAGCTGAAGCTTTATAAATTCAGTGTACAACGTCCCACTTTATAGCATTGTATTGCCCCACAAACCAGACAAGAAGCTGCACCATGTGCGTGTCTTCCTTAATACTGTACCTTTAATTTGTGAGAAATTAACCCATTTTTTTTTGTCAATTAAGGCATTAAGCTGGAATACAATAGAAAATTTGATTATATATTCATTAGAAGCAGGTTTGTAATAATTTGTACATTGTGTGATTTCAAACTTGATACATTTTAAAACAAAGAAACAAAACACACACAAAAAAAAACAAAAATAACTAATTTCAAGGCTGATTTTGCAGTTTGATCTGGGAAATATGTTTAGGGAGGAAAGGAGATCGTAGCTTTTGTGTATATATTTTAGATCATTTCTCAGTCCATTCATCCTTTTAGGCTTATTATAATTCTCTCTACTCTGTATAATTTGATAGGGAATTTCTTTACATTTCCAAGAGATTAAAAGAACTTTAAACAGACTAATTTTATTAACTATGCATATTGCTAAACAATAAATCATATTAACCCTTAGAAAACTGAAGTGGGGGTAAGAAGTGCATAGCTTTGAAGGCTATGCTCCCTGTATAATTTAGTCCGCAGCTCTGCTGTGTTGAGGATCATGGGAGTTATGATCCAGGTTACTGCGAGTCTTTGAATCCTGAAAGTGGGGTGGGTGGGAATGCGGCTCTAAAAGATGTGATGTCCTATAGCTTGCCCTTTAACCTGTGACAAATGATTACCTGTGTACAAATGCAAGTAAGTGAATGAATAGATATGGTTGTCAGCATGTTGTGAATGTTTGTTTTAATTATTTAAATGCTCATTGTAAATCTTCAATAAAGCAGATAAAAGAAAAGCATGTACAGATTTCATTTTAGTGGTTGCAGCCGAACTCCATTTGCCAACTTACGCAAGCTTAAATTCAGCTTTTTGAGCCAGGGCCCTTCTTAACATTTGTTCCTGTTTGGCTAAATTTTCGATTTACTTGTGTTATTGTTTACATGTTGCACAACAGTATCATTTTTATACAAAGCATATTCTATGCCCCCAATAAATAAAAAATGACAACTTGATTTGTCCAATATATATATATATATATATTTAAATTGATTTTCTCACCCCTCCTGAGTGGTATATTTATTCCTCATTCTCTGGTCCTGTACCAGAGGTCTGGCAGTCTGAAGATTATGCGCAGTATCTTAGCTGTTTCTGGAACTGCACTCTTTTGGACAAGAATCTGTTGAAGCCACTGCCCCGACATGGGAGTCACAGCCCTATCACAATTGGAAGCACTACTACCTTAACTTTCCACATCCTTTCAAGCTTTTCTTTCAGTCCTTGGTATTTGTCCATCTTCTTATGTGTCTTCTTCCTGATGTTATCCTCATTAGTCATTGCCACATTCATGTCAGGTTGGCTGTCATTGTTAACTACCCTTTGTGGTAACTCCCATCTGGACTTGGGCAGGTGCAGCCCATATACTGGTTGTGTCTCTCAGTGTATGTTGTTCTTGCTAACATCTTGGAACTGGCCACTATATGCTGGATTGTCTCAGAGGCCTTGTTGCACATTTTTGCACCTTGGGTTTTGCCTGGTGTGATAGACTCTCCCCCTCCCAAGGAACACTTTAAGCACCATAACCTCTAAAGTGAGCTGTAATGCACTGGCACCGCTGTTGTAAGCGGTGACAATTTTGGCAGCAAATTTCAATTTAGTTTTAGTCATAGACTTAATTAAAAAGCCATTTTTGTTTTAGTTCATATACATTGTTTTAGTTGTATTTTAGCGCCCCCCCCCATGTCTCTCACCAAAGCCCAATTCGTAAGTCTCTTCTCCTTAAGCACCTTGTCTCTCCCTCCCCTAGCCCCTCCATGCATCTCCCCCGTGTCTCATTACCCCAGCTACCCATGTGTCTAGTTTCCTCCCCCCAAGCCCCTCCATGTGCTCATCCCATCCCCACAGTCCTTTCATGTGTCTCAATCCCCCAGCCCCACATGTGTCTCCTGTCCTCTCTTCCCTCCCCATGTAACTTACACCCTAGTGTTAATTTAAGCAGCAAATTTCAATTTAGTTTTAGTCATAGTATTTGGACTAATAAGCCATTTTAGTTTGTCATATTTTAGTCATCTGAATTGTTTAAACATTAGAACTCTCGTTACAGAAAGTGTTTGGGAGGCTGTGTAAGTCAAATGCAGGAAGGTATGACTAGGGCTGCATAAACACTGTAATTTAACTTCTAATTGGTAGAGAAGTGAGCAGTCAGACTGCAGGGGCGTGATTTATACACCAAAACTGCTTCATTAAGCTAAAGTTGTTTTGGTGACTATAGTGTCCCTTTAAACAGAGCAGTGTCAGAAATTAGCAGAGAATTGCAAATTTAGATAAAAATAGTTGGCATATTCTCAAGCTGCTGTGTTTCAGGTTTGGCTTCAGATTTGTAATTTCCTGCTGCAATCCTGAAAATGCCCCGTGAATACTCCTGTGCCCCTTTAGTAAAGAACCTGTAATGCAGAGGAATAACTAAATATGCTTGATAAATTTAGGTTAAATGAATTACAATGCTAAAAGTGGGAAAGGCCTACCGAATGATCATATTTTACTCATATCAACTACAATTATTTGTAGAAAATAAACAACTTGACTACACCACAAACTAGATAAAAACACCAGCGATATTTTCGAGCCTCTTACACTCAGCACTGAGACTCCATGCATCCCCCTACCACCAGCTCTGCATCATTGTGACTCCTGGTATGCCCCTACCACCAGTACTGTGAACACTGGGGGCTCCTTAGCCCAGCTCGGTGCCTCACTGTGACCCCATGGGAGCCCTCTAACCCAGCACTGTGACTCCTGGCATCCCCCTACCACCAACTCTGTGCCTCATTGGGAGCCCCCTACCCCAGCACTGCATCATTGTGATTCCTGGTATGCCCCTACCACCAGTACTGTGCATCACTGTGAACACTGGGGGCTCCTTAGCCCACCTCGGTGCCTCACTGTGACCCCATGGGAGCCCTCTAACCCAGCACTGTGACTCCTGGCATCCCCTTACCACCAGCTCTGTGTCTCATTGGGAGCCCCCTACCCCAGCACTGCATCATTGTGATTCCTGGTATGCCCCTACCACCAGTACTGTGCATCACTGTGAACACTGGGGGCTCCTTAGCCCACCTCGGTGCCTCACTGTGACCCCATGGGAGCCCTCTAACCCAGCACTGTGACTCCTGGCATCCCCCAACCACCAGCTCTGTGCCTCATTGTGACTTCTGGTATGTCCCTACCACCAGCACTGTACCTCCTTGGGAGCCCCCTACCCCAGCACTGTGCCTCATTGGGAGCCCCCTACCACCAGCACTGTGCCTCATTGGGAGCCCCCTACCACCAGCACTGTGCCTCATTGGGAGCCCCCTACCACCAGCACTGTGCCTCATTGTGACTCCTGGTATGCCCCTACCACCAGCACTGTGCCTCATTGGGAGCCCCCTAACCCAGCACTATGCCTCATTGTGACTTCTGGTATGCCCCTACCACCAGCACTGTGCCTCATTGGGAGCCCCCTACCCCAGCACTGTGCCTCATTGGGAGCCCCCTACCCCAGCACTGTGCCTCATTGCCTCATTGTGACTCCTGGTATGCCCCTACCACCAGCACTGTGCCTCATTGGGAGCCCCCTAACCCAGCACTATGCCTCATTGTGACTTCTGGTATGCCCCTACCACCAGCACTGTGCCTCATTGGGAGCCCCCTACCCCAGCACTGTGCCTCATTGGGAGCCCCCTACCCCAGCACTGTGCCTCATTGTGACTTCTGGTATGCCCCTACCACCAGCACTGTGCCTCATTGGGAGCCCCCTACCACCAGCACTGTGCCTCATTGGGAGCCCCCTACCACCAGCACTGTGCCTCATTGGGAGCCCCCTACCACCAGCACTGTGCCTCATTGTGACCCCTGGGAGCCCTCTACCCCAGCACTGTGCCTCATTGTGACCCCTGGGAGCCCCCTACCACTAGCACTGTGCCTCATTGTGACCCCTGGGAGCCCCCTACCCCAGCACTGTGCCTCATTGTGACCCCTGGGAGCCCCCTACCCCAGCACTGTGCCTCATTGTGACCCCTGGGAGCCCCCTTCTACAAGCACTGTGTCTCTCGACACCCATTGAGCGCTTTAGATTCCTCTTGCAGTTCCCGTCTCTCCTCGGTAGGTGTCGCTGTTGCTAAGCAGCCACTGAGAGCCGGAAGTTGGTGCGGCGTGTTTGGGAGCGGGAGGCGGAAACTTCCGGCGGAGAGAGCGAGCTGGGAGTCCGGGGAGACAGCGGCACTGAGACCGGAGAGTGAGTACAGCGAGCCGGGCAACCGAACCGAGTGTGCTTCAATACCGCCTCCTCCCTCCCTCTCTGTATCACCGCATAGTATTCATTAACACTCCCATACTCACTGCATGGTATTCATTAACACTCCCATACTGACTGCATAGTATTCATTAACACCACCTCCCTCTATATCACTGCATAGTATTCATTAACACCACCTCCCTCTATATCACTGCATAGTATTCATTAACACCACCTCCCCCTCTGTATCACTGCATAGTATTCATTAACACTCCCATACTGACTGCATAGTATTCATTAACACCACCTCCCTCTATCACTGCATAGTATTCATTAACACCACCTCCCCCTCTGTATCACTGCATAGTATTCATTAACACTCCCATACTGACTGCATAGTATTCATTAACACCACCTCCCCCTCTATATAACTGCATAGTATTCATTAACACTCCCATACTGACTGCATAGTATTCATTAACACTCCCATACTGACTGCATAGTATTCATTAACACTCCCATACTGACTGCATAGTATTCATTAACACCACCTCCCCCTCTATATAACTGCATAGTATTAATTAACACTCCCATACTGACTGCATAGTATTCATTAACACCACCTCCCTCTCTGTATCACTGCATAGTATTCATTAACACTCCCATACTGACTGCATAGTATTCATTAACACCACCTCCCTCTATATATAACTGCATAGTATTCATTAACACTCCCATACTGACTGCATAGTATTCATTAACACCACCTCCCTCTCTGTATCACTGCATAGTATTCATTAACACTCCCATACTGACTGCATAGTATTCATTAACACCACCTCCCTCTATATCACTGCATAGTATTCATTAACACCACCTCCCCCTCTGTATCACTGCATAGTATTCATTAACACTCCCATACTGACTGCATAGTATTCATTAACACTCCCATACTGACTGCATAGTATTCATTAACACCACCTCCCCCTCTATATAACTGCATAGTATTAATTAACACTCCCATACTGACTGCATAGTATTCATTAACACTCCCATACTGACTGCATAGTATTCATTAACACCACCTCCCTCTCTGTATCACTGCATAGTATTCATTAACACTCCCATACTGACTGCATAGTATTCATTAACACCACCTCCCTCTATATATAACTGCATAGTATTCATTACCATCTCCCTCTCTATATCACGGCATAGTATTCATTAACACCTCCTCCCTCTCTGTATCACTGCATAGTATTCATTAACACTCCCATACTGACTGCATAGTATTCATTAACACTCCCATACTCACTGCATAGTATTCATTAACACCTCCCTCTCTATCACTGCATAGTATTCATTAACACTCCCATACTCTGCATAGTATTCATTAACACCACCGTCCTCACATCTCTATTACAGAATATCAATACCACCTCCCTCTCTATATAACTGCATCGTATTCATTAACACTCCCATACTCACTGCATAGTATTCATTAACACCACCTCCCTTTATATATAACTGCATGGTATTCATTACCACCTCCCTCTCTATATCACGGCATAGTATTCATTAACACCACCTCCCTCTCTATATCACGGCATAGTATTCATTAACACCAATGTAACGGATCACCTGGCACCCCAACTGGGTACCTCTATTGATGGATGCTCCTAGTGTTTCTTGAGGACTCCAAGCACTCTGGCAGA